AATAAGTTTTCAATTATGCCAATGCTGGAAAGTAAACTTCAAAAAAATATTTCTAAAAATGAAAAGATCAAAATATTTATACTATTATTTATAAATATTTTGACTGTAAATATCTAAGATCAAAACATATATCCAAGATATCTATTTTATAAATATATAAGATCAAAATATATAGACCATCAAATATATTTTTGATACTCATTGAGGCAGTTATAGGTCCAGGTACTTTTGCTAATACTGCTGAATAGAATCTTCAGTATTTCATTAACTGGGATAGACTGTATTTATGATTATAATTTGTATACAATTGTTTTATATTTTGCTAGTATAAAAAAAAATTTCAGGTTTCACATTTCAAATTTTTTTACCTTGAAGTGAAAATTCAATGATAGGATTTCAATTATATATTGATTCTAAGAATTCTTTTTTATATGTAGACATTTGAATTATCAAGAGATTTAAAAACTTTTATGCAGTAAATATATAGTTTGTCTAAAGTAAGAACTCCCCTAGCCACTCATCTGGATCCATGGTGGATCCAGATGAGTGGCTATGGTAATGAGGTTATTCCAAGAGTGGGGCGTTGTTTAGGACAGATTTTGGCTTGGATCAACGAAAGAAAGGGAATCTTTTACTTCAATCTACTGTGTTAGCCCTAAAGTGAAAAAAAGCTACCCAGCCTGAATTGCACTATTCTTGTTTCCATAGCAGCAGATGGCTTCAGACTTTGTGGCACGGGGAGTTCTCACTGTAGACAAACTATACATTATCCTTCTGATTGTTTTGCCTTCACAAATAGTGTTTTTATTTAATTTATTTACTTTGCTTTCTTGCAGAAAAAATAGCAAGGTGTCCTATTATTCCTTATAAAAAAAATTCTTATCTCGATTTATCTTGACTTTTAACTTTTTGCCCTGATAATTCTGATTTATGTGTTCCACAATTGTTTTCATGCAAAATAAATGCAGATTTTAAAATAATTGATTCACAGAATCGAAATATTTGAACATTTGCCTATCCCTTTTAGCAAGACTCGATAGTTCAAACTTCGGGATTGTCTAAGAATTAAATATGTGGCTCAGGCATATAGCCTTACCAGCAGGATTCATTGCTTAATTTTTTTGGGAATACAGTCCTTTCATGAAAATGAAACTAAATAAAAAAATTTTATGGCGTTTCATTCAGGTGCTCATACGCTCATATATTATTTACAACAAATGCATTAACAAATCTTGTAAGTAAATGCATTAACAAATCTTGTAAGTAAATGCATTAACAAATCTTGTAACTAAATGCATTAACAAATGTTTTAAGGAAATGCATTAACAAATCTTTTAAGGAAATGCATTAACAAATCTTGCAGAATTTTGTAATTTTGCAATTAATGATTCATTACTGTCATCTGATTTTAGATATTTAGAATTATAATTAAACAGTGAATTGAGATCAAGCAAATTATAAAAATCCTCAGAATATTCAGCATGTTTTCGCTTTGAGATTTTCGAAGTCCTATTTTAAAATTATTTGATTAAAGAAATCTTGATTATGAAATGCAATTAAATATTGGTATAAGAGAACTAATTGATATCACAAATACTTCTTAATACAACAATTATCATAAAATTTTTCTATACATTGATCTAAAACTATTATGAATTAAAAACATTGAGCATTAAAACTTACTCTTTTTTTTTTTAAAAAAAAAGGCATTCTAAAATTACAAATAATAAATTTTATTATTCTTTTAAAGTAAAATTTGCCTTTATCATACTTTTTTGGTTTGTCGCTTTAAAAAAAGAAAAAAAAAAGAAGTGTGGTGTATGTATACTACTCCAAAAAAAAGTCCAATTTTTTCCTTTACTGACTACAACAAGGTTGCCACTCAAATCTGAAAAAAATGCTCTGTCTTTTCCCTGTACATATTATACACAATATATTAAGAGGAAAAACAGAATCAACAGTTGTATGAGATGTATTCTGCTAGTTACACTAGTTATAATTGCTGAAAAAACATAGAGAATAAAGGAGAAGCTGAACATACTTAAAACAAAGAATGCTACAGTAAGTGAAATAGAAATATCATCCTTAAATATCTCATAGATCGCACTTGAAGTAATCACCACTTTAAAAAAAAAAAAAAAAAAAAAAAAAAAAAAAAAAAAAAAAAAAAAAAAACGAAATTACAAAACAAAATTCACTTCTTTTTTCAAATTTCTACAGCAGAGTGCGTAGTCAAATCTCTCAACAAAAAATAAGCACCAGTACTTTTTAAGCACTCAAAAAATATTTTTAAGTACCATATACATTAACAAAATGCAAAATAGTTTTCAAAGACTTTACATGATCATGATAAAATAATTAGTTTCTGACAAATAATTCTTTTCTTGATTATATTGGCCATGCTAAAAAGATCGAGATTTTTAGGTTCAATATCAGAGGGTGGAAAATGAAGTCTGAAATTAAGAATATCTTACAAAATGCAGCAGAGTTGCACATGAGAGTGCAAGAATCTCACTGAATCCAGCTCAGTAAGCACATGCCCACACACATGTGGACTTGCAAGTATTTCATCAAACATGTAAAATGATTGATGCTGAAAAGAATTATGAAAACGTTGAATAGAACAATGTGAAAAACTAGCTTTTGCATAATACATGGTAACAAAAAAAAAAATCTAATTTCTGAAAAGGGAAAATTAAGCACTTTTTAAAAACATCTTTAAGGGCTTTTAAATAATGAAAATCTAAAATGAGCACCTTTAAGCACTTTTTAAAAACGCTACGCACCATGTAAAGAAAAACTCAAAATTCCCAGCATTTTCCTTGTTATTTTAAGTTATTTCTAAATTCACTGTATCTTTCCCCAGGTTTTTCCTGTGGAGTGGCAACCCCGTACAAGTACAATTGTGATGATAAAGTAACAATGGGGGTAGATGAGTGGCAGTAAACAGAAGGTTTTGCCTTCTAGGTAAACGATGAGTGAAACATTCCCATTCGCAAAAGGGTCAAAGGGATAAATTTTAACAAACATATTTCATTTCCACAATCTCTAACAAAAAATCTTTTAATAAATAATCAAAAAATCTAGATAAATAAAAAAAAAATTCCCCAGTGTATATTTAGATACCCATTTTAACAAGCAGCTGCACTAAGCAGGTTAACTTGAATTAATATAAAAAATATAATTATATTAAAAGCATAAACTTAAACTATTAAAGCATAAACTAAAAGCATGACATTAACTTAAATTAATATAAAAAATATAACTATATCAAATACATAGTGCACAAGTTTTACTTTCCCAGAAGAAAGGCAAAAACTTCAGAAAATGCAGGAATGTGACAGAAAGGAATATTTTGAGATGAATCATTTTCATAAATGGGTATTTTCTTCTTCTACTAATGTGCAACTATGTATCACTTCCATCCATCTAATTAAAGAATAAAATAACTGTGATGAGCATTAAAATCTATTGAGAATTATATCAACATTAACCATACTTAAATGGTTTATGGTTATAGAATGCAAATCATATTTTTCCATTCTTTTAATATGATAAAAGAATTATTAACAGGGTGGCCACTAAAACTCAGCAAAAAAAATTCCCCAGTTTTTCCCATATTTTTCAAGAATTCATTAGAGACATTGAATTTCCCATATTTTTTGAACCTGGTGGAATAAATTTCATTACATTAAAAGATTTATATAATGCAATTCTACAAACCACAATTCGCCACACTAGCTTTGTGAATGTAAGCAATGAAATAATAAACCTTTCGGTTTCAAAAACTGGAAAACACTAGTAGGAAAAAGGTTAGCATGGAAAAAACTTCTTGAGAAGACCGAGGCCCACTCTGGAATGTCGAGCCATTGATCATGATGAAATGAAAATATATACTTACTCCCCATTCTTGTTCAGTTTCATGATGATCAGTTTATTATGAATCAAAGATCACAGCAAACATTAAAAAAGCATCTCTCATCTCATGAAATCTAAGATTTAGGTTTTTAGGCTTTAATATATATATATATATA